ATTATTATTATTATTATTATCATTTTAATTATCACTATTAGTTCTATTGAGACACTGAGTACCTGAGTTGGATTCCCAGGTGGAGAGGTCTATCTAACGTGCCTCATACTCACAGCCTATTTGGCGGGTTCATGCAGGGTTCAAGCAGCCCGCCTCCTACACGATAAAAAAGTGTCGCTGAGAGTGTAAAACATTCACAGTCAAACAATCAGTTGTCGTGACACTGCCTGTAGACGTACTTGGGTGACACAAGGTTGTTAAGAGTATCTAAGAAAAGCAAAGCCAGAATATCTGATCATTCTTTGATGGGTTTTTTCTCTAAATAAAAGATTGCGTGAAATATATGCTATGTATTACAAATCCCCACACCCCACCACGTCTTCCCTTTCTCTCCCCCACCCCCCACCCCCAAACAAACACACAACAACAAACAAAAACCCCAACCAAAACAACCAACCAACAAACACCCTAAAAATAAAAACAAGCAAACAAACAAACAAACACACAAACAAACAAGCAAACAAGCCAACAAACAAAATAAACAACCCCCCCAAAAAAAAACAATCGAAAAACCCCCAAAACAAAACAACAACAAAAAGAAAAACCACATACAAAAACAAAACAACATCAAAACCATTGTTTTTTCTTTTTTTAAATCCAGGCACCTTGCATTTCACGTACCTGAAGCAGACAGACAGTAAGGAACTCCCCAGGGCCTACTTCTGCTTCCAGGAGGTTCTTCCTCTGATGAAACAGGCCAGCAACACCAGCCTGACTGTCCGGCCGGCCACAGGTCAGTCTACTGGACATTGTTGTTGTTGTTGTTGTTGTTGTTGTTGTTGTTGTTGGTGTGTGTCTGTGTGTGTGATAGCCTATCCGTTCGAAATGTTTGGAGCCCCGAAGAGCGTGCTCTTCGCCTGGGTCACCGCCTCTCTTGGGTTGTAGGGGGAGGCAGTCCAACCTCCCTGAATCCTCCCCAAAGAGATGCCACCGCCGGACCTCGATGGCAGGGCATCTCTGCAGCCAGTGATCCACCAATCTTGGGGCTCCTCACTGCCCTATGGACAAATTGGGTCCGATGACTTGTCTATTTTATTTTTGTAGGCCCGCAGCCCAGAGAAGTGACTGGTCCTGATTTTTGCCCGTAGTGACTGGTCACTGGGGGGCTTAAGTTGAGCCTCTCGTTGTTGTTGTTGTTGTTGTTGTTGTTGTTTTTGTTGTTGTTCTTGTTATCGATCAAGCAACAGCTGGGCTCTCGCCCTTCTGGCCAATGCCATGTAGCGATAAGGGCAGGTTTGCTGCAGATGCTGTAATGTTCTATATAGTGTGTTGTCAATGTTTGGTCTCTG